AGCTAAATGAGGGATTTGAGCCTTTAGATTCAGGTGTGTTAGAGAAAAGATGCATGTAAGAGTTAGAGGATGGTAGCTCTTGAGGACTGCACCCCTGGCTTAGAGAGTATCCTCTTAAAAAAAACAAGCCTCAAGGAAACTATCCCTACTGGTCTGGAAGGCCTGCAGTCCATCTACAGAGAAAAGTGTCTATTAAGGATGCTGTCTCATCAGCACTTTAAATGACTGACTCATCTGCAGACCTCAACACCTTGCTTCTCCATGCAGACTGACCCTGAAACTCCACAACCTGGGTTTATCTGCACTGCTTTGCTCCTGGATCAGTAACTTCCTCAGGCGCGGAGGATAAAAACAAACTCACATCAACCTAATGGTCAGAGTACCATAAGAGAACCTTTGTTTTCATGAGGAGAACTTCCAAACTCTTTGCAACAAGACCCTCGGCTTGTAATTAAAATCAGGACCTTCTTGCTCCCGGGCAATAGTGCTACAAACTACGCTAATGTACAACCCCAAACTTTTACGTTTCCGACAAATTATATCTCTACATGTTTAAATACCCAGCACCATGTTTCCTGAGAAACTCAAGCATTAAGAAAACTATCCCCACTGGCCTGAGAAACATGTTGTCTAGACAGATGGTACAGCTTGTTTATCTGATGGTAAGGCTGGAATATTGATTTCTAATTTCTTCAGGTGGCAGTTAAATACTTCATGACTTTGTTTTGGATCCATTCTGCTGACAAGGAATGTATTCCTTCCAACTGCATCCACAGGTTACTACAAAATACACAGTATCTTCCAAAGTATCACAAAGTGAGAGGTCATGTACAAATGTAGTTAAGTCGTTCACGCAAACCGTTTAAGATAAGATTACTCATCAGAGTGCCTTGATGATGCACAAAGTCACAGTAGGGGTGTTAGAGCTATGAAAGGGTTACACCAAGTTTGAGGGGATGGAAGAGCTGAGGGAGAAGCTGGAGGAGGCGCTCCACCTGTAAGAATCTTCAGTGGAAAACATCATTCTGCAGAGGGATGCTGCTGACATGGAAACTATGGGGTAGTGGGTGGACATTAGGTTCAAAACGATTACACAAGGGCCATTTTATACCCTTCTGATGTTGACTCAGAGTTTCTCAGACAAGAACGAACATGGTTGCGTAACCACAACAACTAAGAGAACACGACAAGCACTGAAGAGGAGAGGGCATGAAGACAGCAGCATCAGTTAGCCGTGGGCTAAATGAACTTGCAGATCCTTCCTCAACCCCTCTGATTGGATCATAGCTGACCACACACGGTTAAAAATCATGAAGAGCACATAGAGTGACCGGCAATTAATTGATTTAAAAACACAAACTTTGATATAGTTTATTGTTATTATGGGTTCTATTAAGAAGTGAAAGATAAAAAAAAATACATTGCTTTTTAATTTCCTCAAAAATAACATTTCTGATTTGCGTTGGCTTTTGGCTCAAGCTCAGACAAGTTAGACGGAGTCAGAGTGGACATCAGATTTTCTGAGTCTTGCCAGAAATCTTTCAGTTTTAATCTGACTTAAATGTTGTGATCTAAATATGGCTGAAAAGATTAATCAGATTAATTGTGATTAATTATTAAATTATTAAGATAATCATTAGTTAACAAATTTAGTAATTGATTAATAGTTAACTGGAATATAGAGACTAGAACATATCTTTAGCTGAGAGAGCAACCCACTTAGAGCAGTCCTTATACCAAATTAATTATATATATATATATATCAGACATGGGCAATGTGGAGTCAACAAGTCATCTCCATGTCATGTATTTAATCTACCCAGCCACTGAAGCAGGTGAGTCCAATCTTCACCGTGAATTAACCTGTGCAGATTGGACTCACCTGGTTAATTGGCTGGGTAGAACAAATACATGACATGGAGATGACTTGTTGACTCCACATTGCCCATGTCTGATATATATATATATATATAATTAATTTGGTATAAGGACTGCTCTAAGTGGGTTGCTATATATATATATATATATATATATATATATATATATATATATATATATATATATATATATATATATATATATATATATATATATATATATATATATAACCAAATTTGTTATATATATATATATATATATTCAGCATTTAAGTAAAAAAATAAGTTTTTGTCTGTCAAAATGCTTTCTCTTTCTCTCTTCTTAATCGATCCATTGCAAAATTAATCAACAGATTAATCGATTAGCAAAATAATTATTAGTTGCAGCCCTAGATCTAAATCCTTCCTCGAAGTGACTAAACCTACGGTCTGTAGGTTTGGGTTTGTTGCCCTGCTGAAAGTTTTTTTTTTTTTTTTGGAGCCTTTAACTATTTGTTTATATATTTATTTTTTTTCTCAGCTATTTGTTCAAAATTGCATGCTAAATTGCCCTCTCAGGAGCCAAAACCCAGGATTTAGTCCCCCTTGGAAGCAAAACACTGGCTTAAGTTAGGACGAGTTAAGTCCCTCCTTTGGAGCCGAGTTATATGTTCCCTTTTTTTCCATCCCTGCCCTTTAAAAATTCTCTGTACGCCCCTGTACTTTAATTTAATTGCATCCGTCTTCCTATTAACTCTTCAAAGCTTCCCCCACCCAAACTGAAAAAGCATCCCTACTGTATGATGCTGCCACCACCGTGCTTTTCAACATGTTGTGTTGCACTGGATATTCCACCACATGCAGCATTTGGCATTCAACCCTGGGCAAATCTTACCACAGCATCTTTGTCACACACTTGCTGTGTACCCACACAGCTTTTGGGAGGAGACTTATTTAGTTTTTTTGCAACTCTTTCATAAATCCCATATTTATGGATTGCATGAATAATAGTTGCTGTCAACCTCATTTGTGGATCTTTGCAATCCTGCCTACATTAACATGGGACTATTGGCTGCTTCTACAATTAATATTTTTTGATGTCTTGGTAGGTTAGTTGTACCGTTCTCTTATACATTTCATATCATGATTTGAACAATGCAGTGTGTTTTTTCAGCCATATACATGATGATGACATTAAATACTTTTTTAATCCCAGAAGGAAATTAAATGTTGTTGAGCTTCCTTAAAGGAATAGTACACCCAAAACATGATTAGCCTTCATTTTCTACTCACCCCCATGCTGAACAAAACTCTGGAGTACTTTTTTGATATCTCAAATGCATCTGGAGATCTGGGAGGCTTCTTGCTGTCTGCTGACATTCAAATAATGGAGGTCTATGGCGCCCGAGACAGAAAGGTCCACAAAAGTCCACAAAAACTTGTCAATATTCCTCCATACTGCTCGTCCAATGTAATCCAAGTGTCCTGAGTGGGTAGCATCCAGAATTTACTCGAAACGAAGTCATTTAGAATGTTTTTAGAGCCTAAACAGTAGTGTATAGGATTTCCTAATAGCGCCCCCATGCGCGCTCACGATTCTACGGAAGCCGGCAGACCAAACCAGCGCATTCAGCTCGGCAAAGAACTCATGCTCTTCCTCAACACTGAAGTCCTCAGACATTTTTCTTTCGTTGTTTCTTTCTTTGCACAGGTAAACAGCACATTTCTTCTTCTACGCTTGCATTATCGGCAGACCAGACGCTGAATGCGCACTTTCTTCCGGTTTGGTCTGCCGGCTTCCGTAGAATCGTGAGCGCGCATGGGGGCGCTATTAGGAAATCCTATACACTACTGTTTATGCTCTAAAAACATTCTAAATGACTTCGTTTCGAGTAAATTCTGGATGCTACCCACTCAGGACACTTGGATTACATTGGACGAGCAGTATGGAGGAATATTGACACGTTTTTGTGGACTTTTATGGACCTTTCTGTCTCGGGCGCCATGGACCTCCATTATTTGAATGTCAGCAGACAGCAAGAAGCCTCCCAGATCTCCAGATGCATTTGAGATATCAAAAAAGTACTCCAGAGTGTTGTTCAGCATGGAGGTGAGTAGAAAATGAAGGCTAATCATGTTTAGGGTGTACTATTCCTTTAATGAGTTGCAAATGCTGATGGCTGTAGGCAGAATATCTCCTATAGCGATCTGTCACATTGAATCCAAATAAAGGTGCTTCATCACAGTTTGAGAATGTCTTACGTAACAAGATGCATTAAGCTCCAAGGTTAATTTGTAGCATACAGTGACAAGGCACTGCAAACGGTAACAAAGCAGAACACTGCAAATGCCATAAGCTACAAAAGTCAGTCACCCATACCGTGCAGATTTTTTGTATAATACATGCATGAGAACCTTCACCTGTTCTGCTGGCATTCCACAAAATATTAACTGCTGACAGCTGACCTCATATATCAGCTACAATGCCAGCAGCTTCAATTTAAAGCTACCCCTCTCCAAAGGCGTCCAGCAGAAATAGGAATCCCATTTCAACATTAAAAGCCAAATTCAATGCCCCAACTGGCTTTCTACCTGGAGGGGCTTGCAGCTGTCGCTGTATATCCCAGACTGTGCTGGAAAGGCAAGGAAAAGTGGAGCAGACAGATGAGCACCATGTTGGGCTTACACAGTTGGAGAGCCTGGCTGCCTTCTGCCATTTGGATCACCATGGAAACAGCTAAATACACCAGCAGCACTCTGCTGGGCTTAAGCAGAGATAACATGTAAGGAAAAACTTAACACCTCGCAAAACACCATAAATGCACTAAAATGACCAGGTATTGAGAGGCTTATTATACAATAATAACAATTGCATATAAATATCACATCACAGACCTGTGTGATTGTGTTGGAAGCATTTAAAACACGTGTTAGAAAGGAAAGACAGGTTTATTCTAAATAACATTTTTTATTGGGGGGGTCCTGGAGGGGCCTGCAGCTCATAGCGCGGCGCCAGATGCGCACATGACGACGCATGTTTCGGAATCACCGAGCATGATGTTGAGCCAACATCAGGTTTACCGCAGCATAAGCAGCTCTGCTCCCAGGCATCACATGCGGACCAACAGGCGCTATCCTCCTTACCTGGAGCGGGGGCTCCAGAGCGGAGCTCCGGGACGCTGCTCGGGTCACTGTGAGACCGTCCGCGCTGCACCACGCAGTCCTCATCCAGCTCGTCCGCCGGTGATGGTGTTGATGATGAGGATGATGCCATGGTAGGAAAAAAAAAAGGATGTGAAGGGGAGGAAAAAAAGCTTGCAGCTACAGAGGCGTGATCACCGCCAACTGGCCAAGGTCAGCGGCATCAAGTGGTAGGGGCCGGTTCCTGCGCTCCTGCAGCGCCTTCACCCCGATAGGCAGCAGCGGAGGAGAGATCCATTATGAGCGAAGCGTCATACAGAGGGTCGGTGGTGCCAAAACACACCACATTTTTTTCCATCTCGATCTTTTCCCTTTTTTTATTTATGTATTTATTTTATTCTTTTTGTATATTCTGGAATAAAAAAAAATATGTTTCTATTATCATGGGCTGTTCCAGGGGCCATAAAGGTCCTGGCTCATGGCCCCTGTAATTGCTCACATAATACAGAATAAATCAATGATAAATAAACATGATATGCAATGGGACAGAAACCACAGCTGACAAGTCTTTTGATCTAATTTATTTTTTATTTTTAAAGTTTTATTTTGATTTAAAAAGTAAGCACTTGCACTTTTAGCTTTACTCATATTGAGATGTTGCTTTTTTCCTGCTAGATCTGAAGATTATAGATCTGCAAATAGGTCTTTGGTTAACTTCATTTATCAAACAATGAACTTTTGCGCAGTTTTTTTTATTATTATTATTTTGCTTGCTGTCCCAATGACCCCCCCCCCCCTATCTAAAGCCCTCTATTTCTTTTTTAAAAACGAGCAAAAGAACACAATTTGGGCCTTTCTGGATGACAAAGTTGTTTTCGTCATTCTCCCAACTCTATTTGGGAAGAGTTTGATTTACTCTTAATCTAATCGTAGTGAACTTGTGAAACACACCAAGAATGTGATACGTCTCAGCTGCTAATGCTGCTGTGATTGACTAAAGACTCAAGTGTAGCAACACCCTTAATAATACCACATTTATTACATATGAAAGATGAGCACAGCAGTTGATTTTTAACTGTCCTTCCATGTTCGACAAAACAAAGATGAGTCTATCTTTCAGGAGGAAATATGATAAAAATAAAAAAGTGAAATAACCTAAACTGAAACTTTAGCATTTTTAACCCCTTTTATAATGATGGGATCAATTTAGCTGTCTTGACGGACACAATTTGTCTGTCAGTGTAGCCAGTCAGCTGTCATCAACCTTTAGGTGTCTGATGGGAAGCTGCAGACTCAGATATTTTACCCTTCAGCATCACCGTGAGAATAGAGCAAGCATTCAAAACACGACAAACCACAGAAGACAATTAAGTGCTGGAATATTGCAGGGGGGATCCAGAACTTAAAAATTGAACAGAAAATCAGTTAGTTCCACATAGCCTCATACTCTGCTACAGTAGTTTTGGAGAACTTTTGCACCTATGGCAAACATAACAATATCAAATGGGTCACGATGGAATCTCAGTAAAAATCACTGAGAAATTTATGCTGAGGGTCTGACAGTGAATCAAAATGAGCTTTTTTTTAAATGTTGCAACCAGACACTTGTAAATTTTTTACTTTGTTTCCTTCAAACTGAATTTTTTTGTTTTTAAATTTAAACTGTAATTAGAATAGGTTCTCAAAGGTACGAGACTGGAACACTGTGGCAAAACTAAATAAATAAAACACATAGCTGTGTATAAATGTGTTAGAATGGTCCAAAAAAATGTTTCAGACCTAGGTGCATTGGAGATAATGAGAAAAAATGTTAAAAATATCCCTAAACATTGTATAATCAATCTTAGTAAACTTTGGCTATTATGCAACAAAGAATAGGGTAAAAGACCGTTTTCGTGCCCTACTAAAATATCTGCATGTATGCTGAATGCAATGACCTGTAAACAATTTTAAACACATGCTTCAACTTCGTAGTGCTTCACAAATATGCATGGCTTTATGTTGGTCTCTTTCACTTTTTTTAGTTGTAGTTTGTTAAATGGGAAATTATTAAAGTCGTAGGTTATTAAAATTGATGTGATACATCTACATCTAATAACAAATAAGGGGTCCCAAGTTGGACATACGGGATCACTGTTGGGTTTTTGGAGCGTTTGAGTGCCAGTGTGGGCTGAGGTGGGCAAAACGGGTGGTGTGTGTGACATGATGTGGGTTCTGGAGAACCAGGGGCTGCTCCACGGAAGTTGATGCGGGCCCAGAGTTTTCCGTCTCTGGGGAGAGGAGCTCCACTTGCTCCGCTGGTTCTGGAGGCGCAGTGTGTGGATCCCAGTGTGTAAATAAAGTCTAATGCTGAATTTTAAATGCCCACCTACGTTCCCCTTTAATCTTTCCTATTTAAAAGTTGAAGTTGAAAGCCGGTTATCTCACAGGATTGGGAACATTACAAAGTTCTCTAGGGCCCGCTTCATGGGCCCCCCTGGTTCTGGACCAGTGGCACGGGAAGGGGGGTGCTGCGGGGGCTGCAGCCTCCCTCGTCATAGCATCAGCCCCCCATGGTGGGGGGCTGTGGAGTAACATAATATTGTACTTAAAAACATGAAATTATTTATGTATTTATTTTTTAAAAGACTGTGTTTGATATGGGATTAAAATGATGGGCTGTGTATAAGATATAAACTAATGATTCATTATTTTAATATTTCATAAAAAACTAGGCTACTCCCCCAGAAGGTTCCGCCACCTCACATTCGTTTAGGCATGGCTAGCAATAGGCAGCAGAAATGTATTTCTGACTATTTCGAGGTAAGAAATGGTTTTAATTCCCCTATACTGCCGCATTTAGCGTTATTTATGTGCCTATTCATCTAAGTCATGTGGCTGAAGAAGTCTACGCTAGAATAAGGCTGCATATCACTAAATTTTATGTCTGTATTAAGCTATTTAGTGATAAAATATGAAATTAGTTTTTTTTTGTGTGTTTTATTTTTGTTTCAGATATGAAATTATTCCCCATATCCATAGTCGAATGGACTTTCAAGACGTTCAATGCTCAGTTTAGGCTATATTTAGGCCATGTTTTATTCAAGTATTCCTGATCCTGTTGATTGGGAGCTGTTGTTTGTTTTGAATGATTAAAAGAGAAGAAATAAAGTTTAAAATGCTCATGCTTTTTTTTTTTTTTTTTTTTTTGTGTGGGAGGGGGTGTGTGGGCGGGGGGATCGGGGCTTGGAGTGGGGCTCGGGATTTGCGCTTAGCTGTGTTGTGTGGCTTTCTTCTTCTTCGGATTGGTGCTGTGGGACCGGTGTCGGGGGGGAGTCGTTCGGGGGCCGGGGTCGGGGTGGGGGTGCTGGCGCCGGTGCCGGGGGTTTTTGGGCGTTGCCCGGCCCTACTGCGGGGTGGGTCTGGGGTGGCTCCTTGGGTCTGGGATCGCTGGGGCGCATTGCCCTTGGGCGGGGTCCCCGGTGGGGGTTCGGGTTCTGTGGGGAGTGCTGCTTGGGTTCTGGGTTCCGGCTGTCTGTCCCTGCTGCCACGGCCTCTGGTGTGCCGGGGTGCCTCGGGGCCTGCTGGGCTGGGGGGGGGCATGGACATTAACACCTATGGCAAGTGCTTACCCCCTCACGGGTTTGCACTCTGTAAGTGGGGGAAGGGGAGGGAGGGGGAGTAGGTATGATCTCGGTCTGGATGTCTTCTGTCGCTTGTGTGGTGAGTAGCTTGATTGTTATTGTAGGGGAGGGATTACATCTCCGGAGGGGGGGTGGGGGGTGGTGATAGAGGGAAGAAGATCTTTGAAGGGCTTTGGGTCTGGCTCCCTGTCTTGGTCCTGGTCCGTGCTGCCCCCTGGTGGGGCTTCGTCCGGGGTGGGGGCTCTGCGTGTTGCGCGTTGGCTGGCCGGCTGGGGTTGTCCCTCCCCTTATTCATTTATTTATTTATTATTATTATTTTTTTCTTATCTTCCTTTTATATTTTTTTTTTTTTATTTATTTATTTATTTTTATTTTTTATTTTTTATTTTTTTTTCTTTTAATTTAATTTATTTATTTTTTTTATTTTTTTTTATTTATTTATCTACTTATTTTTTATTTTTTTATTATTATTATTATTTTTTTGGATGGACAGGACGGGGGGGGGTGGTGGTGTCAGCTCCGTGCCCGGCTGGCTGGTGGCTGGCTGGTTTTCGGTGGGTGGGGGTCAGGGCCACCGGGGGGGGGGCTTATTTTATGGGCCTCACCACGGTCGGCCTCCTCCATCCCCTCTCGCATCTAGACATTGAGGGTTGAGGGTTGTCGAAGGGGGGGGGTGTGCTGGCACCGTCTATCTCCTGGAGGGGGGGTGGAGTGTGCCGGACACCCCCTCTTGGTACTCCCAGTTTTAATTGCATCTGAGAGCAACACGCAACAACACCGCATTCGAGCGGGCGCAGTGAGGATCGGGGTCTTCTCACACCCCTGTTCTCCGGCTGCCGCCTGGAGTCTGGGGCCTGGAGGAAGAGCGGGCCACCTGGTCCGTGGTTTTGGCTGGGGCTGGCTGCGGGGCCTAGGTGGCCTGCTGGTGGCGGGGCTGTCACCTCTGCTCTCCCCAAAGAAGGTTGGATGGAGAGGCATGAAGTGCCTGGTTGAAGGTTTTTTTTCTTTTTTTTTTTCTCTTTCTTTTCGGGGGGGGGGGGGCGGTTCTGGTTGGGTGGCCGGCGCGGGATGGGTGGGCCCCGGTCCCGGGGGGGGCTCTTGCTGGGGGTGGTACGGTCCGTGTGCGGGGTGGGGGGCCGGGCTTGAAGCAGGAAAGAGATGGGTTGGTGTGGCGGTGTCGCCGCTCCCCTCCCCTCACATCCGGATTTTAGGTTCACTTATGGGGTCATCCGATAGTCCCGGGACCGACCACCGGTGTCACCGGGTTTTTGGTCCTGGTATTATTGGATGTGAGTGTTATGTGTGAATGTGTGTCCGCGTTGTTATTTTCTTTATTTATTATTATTATTATTTTATTCAATTTTTTTTTTTTTTTTCTGTGGTACGAGTGGGGGCACTAGGGAGGGAAGGCATGATTGAGATGGTGTGTTTTTTTTTTGTTTTTTTTTTTTTCTTTCCCAGGTTGGGGTCTCAACCGCACCCTCTCCCAAATACATCTCAAGTCTCCGCTAAGTGCGGAGCCCATTCCCCCCGTCCTGCTCTCCCTCCGCTGGCTGGCGTCGGGGCTCACCGGTGCACTGGTGGAGCTGGGGGTGGATACCCGGGGGACTGCTGGCTCATTCCTGGCGGCC